AAAAAAAAAACTTGAGCAGTTGAATAAAGCATGTGTGACCAAAAAAAGCTTGGACAGAGCCATTCCCGACAAATAATACCGCAAACAGTACATTATTTAGTTATTACACCTTTGGCTTGTATAAAGCATTCATACACTCATTCATCATATCAATAAGAGCCAGGCATTCATTTGGAGTAATTTCATCCCAAATTTTCTTGATTTTTTTTTTTAACCATTTACACTTCTTAGAAGACTTTATCTCAATGCTTTTTTAATTTTACCCCACATATTTTCTATAGGAGAAAGGTTGGGACTGCTCGATGGCTTAATGTGTTAATATCATGTTGGTTTTAGCAGTACAACAGCTTGCATCATCCTGCTGGAAAATAAAATGTCTGTGATGTAATTTTTTTAATGATGGCAATAGGTTTTTCTCAAGGATTTGTTGATATTTGCTGCATTTATTGATATCTCAACAAAATGCAAATTTCCCACACCTTGGGCTGACATGCAACCCCACACCGTAACACTTGCTGGGAATTTTACAATGCGCTATAGACGGTGACAATGGAATGCCTGTAATGACTTTTTTCTATTGCCTATGATGCAGACTTCAAATTTTGCTTCATCAATAAAAACAACCTGCTTCCACTGTTGTTGTGTCCAGCATTGGTGTTCTTTGGATCACTTCAATTGATTTTTTGTATGTGTTTTTGTGAGAAGTGGCTTTTTGTTTAAAAATAAATCACATGTCACGATTGTTAAGTAAAAATATTATTTTCTTATCTGATAGAAGTTGTAACCAAGTTTGTGCAGATGAATACAAGTTTCTTTTGTAATTTACTTTTCAGTAACTTTATTCCATTCATTCACTAATTCATTGAGTGATACCCTTGATTTTTTTTTAATTATTTCACAAGTGTGTGATCAGTCTTTGTTATGGTTGCTGGCCTTCCAGTTGATTTGTTTGGATGAATTTTAGCAGTTTCCTGATTTTTTTGAAAAATAACCCATACTGTGGAATTACCAGTTTTTAGTTTGCAATTTTTCTTAAGGATTTGTCCTTGTCCTGTCTATGGAGATGATAATTATTTCATGTACATCAACACTTATAGCATTACCAGGAGCCATTTTCATTAAACAAATACAACTCAATAATGTTGGAGAAGAATATGCAAATATCACATCAACTCATTTACACATTTAGGGAGAGGTCATTTAATGTGCTGTCTGAGATATTTTGTTAGGAATGGCTCTATCCAAGCTTTCTTGAACTGTTCATAACTTTTTTTTTTACGTATTATCAGAATGAAAATTTTTTATGTAAAATCTTCAGTTATAATTATTTTATATTAGAAAACTTTTATTATAAGTGTACAAAACTTTTCTGTTTGATATTATTGAAAGATATGCTAGAAAATTCATGCATATGGTATTTGTTGTATTAAACCTTATGTTTCTGGCTAATTTTTTATAACATTCATTATTATTGACAAAACTGTCTTTCCATGATGACTCAGGATAATTTTTTCAAATTTGAAGTTATTACTTCTGTGGTCGTGTTAAAAAGATTAAAGGATAGACTCAAAAATGTATATTTTTGTTAATAGTCTTAACTTCAAATTTGAAGGAAGACTGTCTTGTTTATAAAATTGTACTGCCTGCTGTGTTACCAGCTTAGAGGTATGAAAGAGTACATGTCAGGAGTTGCAATTTGGCACAGAGTATTAAGTGTACAAATCATGCATGCATAAAGAAACCAGACTTGTAGGTACTCGGGACTGAGAACCAAATCAAAATAAAATACAAAATCATGATTATCTGAACAAACAGACAAACCGAAGTCAGGTGTGAGAGTACCATCCATAGTCGTTCTAGGAAGTGGACTCTGACCCTAGGACTGAACACGTAGTATTTTCTTTGTTAAATAAAATTTGTAATCTAATTTTGTAAATTTGGGGCCACTTCAAATATGACATTAAAATAAGGTTTTATGTCGTTACAAGTAGGTTTTTTAACATTATCTAGTATAGCAAAATTGTGGGACCGATAAAAATTTGACGTTATATTAGGGTATGTCGTTACATCCAATGACGTTATAATCGAGTTTAACTGTATATTGTTTGTGCAAAATAAAAAATAATTTCGCATGATACAATAGCCATGATTATTTTTTTCAAAAACGGGAAATTTTTCTTATACATTGACAAAAATTCAACCCGGGCCAACATGCAACGGAGAGAAATTTTGAAATTGAATTGGTTAATTACATTGAAAATGTATCGTGGAAGACCTTGTGGTCATTGCCGGCAAAGTTTGAACGATTGCGCCCAAAAGTAGCGATACAAAAAAAGATTGGAGAATGAGAACGAGACCTGCCTTGAGCATCAAAGTGATTTCACTTAGTAGTGAGTCTCTGAGACATCGTCTTGTCCCAAATACAGTTTTGCCATTTTACCTGTTTATTTTTAATATTTTATGTAATTGAATTGTTATTTTTTTTTTAAAGTAACATTAATTTTGTTTTATATTTTATTTAGTGTTTTTGAAAAATTTAAGTCTTTGGATCCAGAAATCATCAGACAGAATAAACATGCCAGACTTCCCATAGAAACAGTTATGAAACTTTCAGAATTAAATGTAATATTTGAATTTTTTAATTAGTACTCAGAATATCTTTAATTAGCATTAATTTATATCAATATTTCTATAGAAAAGGTTATCAATATTCTTTCATAACTTTTTTTAAAGCTGATTGTGAGAAGAAAATTGTGTAGAATAATTTAAACATCAAATTTATGTGAAAAATATGATTGTATTTAACTGAATTGTTAGATTTTAGTTAACAGACAACTTAAAATGAATGGTTGGAAAACGCTTTATACTTTCAGATAATAGTCTAAAAATTATATTTATTTTGCAAAACATTTTTTGTGCATAAGTGCACACACATCGTCAAATCGTATTAACTTTCCATTAATATCTAATGTTATATGAAATTTAAACATATTAAAATTTTGTATTGAAATATAATAAAAAGTGAATGAGAACAATAGGAATTTACAGAAGTTTAAAGATCAGAATTGAACAGAATGTTATTTTCATATATTCTAATTTTTAAATAATCTATCTTATTGATATGCAGGCATATACCATATTTACTTGAATGTAATGCACCATCAGGTTTTAGTGTCTGAAAATAGTGTGCATGTTAGATTTGACATAATTAGTGATCTCTAGTGCCACACATCTTATTTCTTTGTAACTAATTCCATTTTGTCATTTTAATGACTTTATTACACCAATATTTGTAATACTTAGCTCAATCTCGTTAGTCTATTTTTTTTTTATGGAAGGTGGGGTACTCCTGGTATCACTCATAGATACGACCAGGAGGGGAAAAGAAATGAAGGAAGAGGGAGAGATGCGAAGGATAGGGGATGAAAGTGGGGGCAGCAAAAGGTGGGTTCCCATGGCGCTTGCATCGGATTTATTTATAAATAAACCAGAGTACAAAATAATATATAAAGATACAAATCAAAGTTAGTACATACAGCTATATACAGGGTTTGGCACAACAATAGTGAGAGAAAATACAGAATGGTAACGCAAATAGGATGTTAACAAAAATTAGAAGTTTACAACTATTTGGCACGATGACATAAAATAATGAATTACAACACAATGGTGAATGGTACAAACAAATTTACAATAAGAAACTTACTATTAAAGTATAACAGACAAATAATGAAGACAACCGCATGACAAGCAGTGGGGAGAACAAGCAAAGCAGTAAAACAGATAAAACAGTAGCATGTAGAATGGTGAACAGTAACATAACATTATGATACAGAAAAGCCACAATGGCTGAGAGAGTCAGTAGGTAACAGTTCCTGGGTACAATGAAGAAACACTGTTGAAGAGAAGTCCACTCAATCAGGATTTTGAACACTGTCATTTGTGATGTGTAGACTGCTCGCTGGATTCAGTGCTGCTATCGTTGAGAGATAATCTGCCAGTTTATAAAAGTCCGTGTTTTCAAGGAAAACATTAAAAGGACAGGGCCAGTTGAAGCCAGCGTAGAGTACACTGCCAATAAGAATGTCACTGTTTTGGCTGAACAATGTACAATCAAAGAGGAAGTGACCACTCTCCTGGATGGAAGTGCCATCACATTGACAGATGTCATCTTCTTGAATACAAAACCTCTTTAAGTACGCCTTGAAGTTGCCATGACCAGTAAGCAACTGGGTCATGGTGAGAAGTGTCTCCACTGAAGGTGCTGAGTGATGTTAGGGATGAAGTTGAAAGTCGTTCTGCTGGTGTTGCTGCTATCCCATTCCTGTTGCCATTGGTGGATTGCAAGCTGGTAGTTCCAGTGCTTAATTTTAGAAGGTGGGATCTTGTTGTAACTAGATGGGAGGGAGGAGGCTGTTGGCGGCTTTGTTGCCTGCAACACCCAAATGGCCACGTACCCATTTAAAATGCACATTGTGATTGTGCGTATTTGAGGAAAGATGACGATTGATTTGAAGAACGTTATCGCCTCTTCTCCGGAGGCCCTTAGCAGAGTGGATGGCAGTGATGCTATCGGAATAAATTTGTTGTTGATGTAGGTTTCATATTCAACTGGGTGATGTCTGCATATGTGGTAGCCGGGGCAGTCTGGGCTGCTGGCGAAGAACACTTGGGGTGGTTGGATTTAACGCAAGATGCCATGGAACTGGCTGAGGCATGCGAAAAGGCGGGAGACCCTGTCCCTAACTTCCTTCCGTTCCTCTATCCTGATGTTCGTGCTATACTTTTCAGGTAGTAAGTCCAAGATCTTCAGGAAATGCTGGTTTGCTTCTTTGAGGATAGTATCTTCTAAGGTGTCGATGATAACCCAGGAGTCGGGTGTTTCAACGTCAGTAGAGTTCTTAGGATGACTTGCAGTTGGCATAATTGATAAGTGTTAAGTGGCAAGACCAACCAGAAGAGTGGAGAGTAGGTGTAATTGGCAAGTTGGAAAAGCGCCTTTTGGCAAACGGACTCTGTCCTAGTAGACTAAGTCTAACTCAGACAGGGGAAGAAACCTGGTTGGTCGTGTAAAAACAGAGTACTCACCAGTATGTAGTAACCAATAACCAATATGGTGATCCACCAGTTGAATGACACTATCTTGTTGATACCTGAGAAAGGTTGCACGACGCATTATTGTTGGTACTTGAGGTGAGGTGACCCGACGCTCTATGTAAGGTGATGGGGAAAGTCTGTTCACACCAGCAAACCCTGTGATGCCTTCCTATATGGGCGATGGGAATATCCAAGGCAGCCAAGCTAGCTTGGCTGGTGTATCCACTAGCTGGCTGGCTAGGGGACTGGACTGCTCCTATAGCAGGTCCTCTAACCAAAAGTAGACAAGAATAAACACACAAAATACATACTAATAAAGTCACAAGAGGAAGGCAAGATGTCTGCTGTGGTTGTCTTCTGCCTTCGTTCCAGTTGGGGAAGGTAAGATGGCTGGCTACAGTTCTTAATTTTTTAAGAATTAAAGTTGGCAAAAAAGTTAGGTTTAGCTATCCTAAGCCTAACTGACTGCTAACCCTAACTTAAGCCTAAACAGCTATACCTTAGTATAGGGGAGAGCTAACTAAGCCTAATATTAGGCTTAACACTGTCAAACTGACAAAATACCTTGGTCAGGAGCACTAGATAGAATCTACTTACCTCGGCAGTGTCCAGACTCAGAATCCCTCATTAGTCTATTACTGTAATGTCAAATATTTGGATGAAAATCTCAGAAAAAGTTATTCAGCACTGTTTTGAGGAATGTTGCATTTATGTTTCAAATGGCACCAGGGATGATTGCTTGTGAGGAAGATATGAGTGTCAAATCCGGTGTCAATTCAGGAGAGCCTGATACAGATATTGAAGTTTTTAACTTTGATACCATGCAAAAGAGTGATACATAACTTACTTTACTTTGTAGTAAACAGTGAATGAATTTTTGTTGACAGAAGTGCTCTGTTGACATAAATTTGATTATCTGAATATAAGAAAAAAAATACTCTAAACAAAATAATTGAAAAGATAAATAAAAGTTACATAATACTAGTATAAGTAACTCTTTACTGTCATAACAATGTTCACTTAACAGTTCATAGTATATGTTCCCACTTAATGTTTATTGAACTTGTGTTTTTTAACTTCTTCACTTTCAATAATTCATTTTTAGACAGATCTTAAAATATTTTAAGATTAATGTAAGAAGAAATATTAAGAGAGTTAATATGATATTGATTAATGATAACTGTATAAGTTGTTTGAACTTAAATACATTGTTGTAACTTAACAATAAAATTTTTCTAAAAATTAATTAGGTCAATCCATTTAAAGACAGACTCTGTAAAGTGTTTTCTTCAGAAAATGATGACACAATGAGTTTTGAAGATTTTCTAGACATGATGTCAGTATTAAGCAATAGAGCTTGCAAAAGTATTAAAACTGAATATGCATTTAGAATTTATGGTAAGTAAGCAAATTAGTTAAATTAATTTTTCTATCTACTATTAAAGGCTTTGTAACTTTTCTCACTGCAATCAATGCTCTCTGTCCATTGCAGTCCCTTTTAATTGATAGTTTTGGAATTCCATGGAAACATTGACCTCTTCCAGATACTTTTTATTTGGTCTTCCTCCTCTTTTTCTTCTGAGAATTTTTCCTTCAAGGATAGTTTTTAGGAAAGTATTGCTTAATTAATAATATAGCCTATAAAATTTAATTTTCATTTTCCCTATTTCCTGTATTAACTTCCTTTGTTCTGTCATTTAATTCAGAATTGTTTCATTTGTTTTCCATTCAGTCCAGCTTATTTTGTTTACTCTTCTCCATATCCACATTTCTACAGCTTCCAGATGGGTTGTATCTTGCTTTCCTAGTAGCCAGCACTTACTTCCATACAGCAAAATGCTCTAGAGAAATGTCATAGTAAATGTTTTCTTTGCTTCCATACTTGCATGTCTTGATGTTAGCAGATTTCTTTTGTTTTGGGAAGCTTGTTTCATTGGTACTATTCTTTTTTTGATCTCCTGTATACATTTGTTACATAGGGAGTGAAATTACAGAAGATAAGTAAAATTTCTTATTTGTTCCACCTGTTTGTCAATCATGATGCTAGCTTTTGTCTTTTTGTTGTTGTTTTTACTAATATCACCTTTGTTTTCTTAATGTTTATCTTTACACTTCATTTAGTATACTAAGCATATGATTCACTTTGCTTTCTGAATTACTCCATGACATATCAGCAAATCTGATGCAGCATATCTTTTATTTATCATTATATCTTTTTGTCTTACTCTTCATCTTTTGTATAATCTCTTCAATGAACATGTTAAACAAATATGGAGAAAGTGCACAGCCCTGTCTTATACTCTTCTTTATCTTTACTTCGCTCTCTTTCCCATTGACATTTATATATGTATACTGGTCTTTGTATAACTGGTAAATTATCCTTTTATCCCTCCAATCTAAGTTTGCCGTCTTTTTAGTTTTAAACAGCAGATTCCATTTCACTATATTAAATACCTTCTCTAGATCTCTGAATGTGATATACACCGAAGAGCCATTACATTATGATCACCTCCCACCTAGAGTGGGAGCTCGTCTGGAGACAAAACAATGGCACTTGTGCGGCTCATATTGCCTTATATAAACAGCCAGTGAACTGTGTTTCCAAATGTAGAGTTTTTAGCTGTATCATGGGAAAAGCAGCAGATTTATAAGACTTCGATAAAGGGCAAATCGTTATGGCTAGGCGCCTGGGAACGTCAATCTCAGAAACGACATGATTGGTGGGCTGTTCACATGCAGTCATTGTTAGTACTTTTCAAAAGTGATGTACAAATGGAGAAACAAGAAGTCGATGGCCAGCTGTATGCCGGCTGTGGTGCATTGATTCCAGAGGAGAGCGAAGACTATTACTCATTGTTCACTGTGACTGAAAGGCTACAGCAGCCCAAATCACCAGTAGCTACAACAGTTGTGACCAAGACAATGTCTCACAGCACATAGTGCAGTGTACCCTTCTATGTATGAGCCTGTGTAGCCGCCAGACATTTGAGTCCATGCTTACAGCACGTCATCTACAACAGTGCCTGCAATGGGCCAGGGAGCATTGCAGTTGGACCTTAGAAGAATGGAAGAAAGTTGTCTGGTCCAATGAGTAAAGTTTTATGGTCAATCACATTGATGGTTGAGTGTGGATATGCCAATTTTCAAAGGAGATTATGGCAGCTGAATGCACAGTTGGAGAGATACAAGCCAGTGGAGGTGGTATTATGGTGTAGGTGATGTTTTCATGGGACACATAAGGACCTGTCATTGCCATAAAACAATCCTTGATGGCTGTGCACTATGTGAACATCATTGCAGATCAGGTTCACCCCTTCATGGCAACAATGTTCCTGGCGGGGATGGCTTGTATCAACAGGATAATGCACCATGTCATAAGGCCCGAATTGTCATGGAGTGGTGGAGGAACATTCCAGTGAATTTCAAGTCATGTTTTTTTATTCTTCTTTACACACCGGAATGTACTAAAAATAACTCATTACTTTGAATCTTGTAACTGGAGTGTATGTATAATACTAAAGCTAACGTTTTCGACGCCCTTTCTGGGCTCTTCCTCGGGCTTTTTTTTTTATAAATACTTAGCTGGACGTTGAAAATTGAACACTTTCTTTTGATTCGTTTACCTTTTGAATCATCGCACGTGGAAACTTTTGAGCAAAACGAAAAGAGTGCTGTTTTGCGTACCATGCATGCACGCTGCAGTACTTTCGTCATAAACTTTTAAACAATATCATCCATTGGGAACCGCCATGCTGTTGAAAGGGCTATCTCTTCTTTAAAATTGATGCATGTTGTATTGCGTCCTGCTCTAAATATCTCCATAGCTTCCAACCATTTAATATGTTTGGGGTGGGTGGTAGTAAGGATAATGTGTGCCGCGTCAAAGTCTGCCGTGATGTCCTTATCAGTCGCTGTTGTGTTGTATGTCATACAACACAACAGAGCTACTACGGCTCATACAACACAACAGAGCTACTACGGCTCATACAACACAACAGAGCTACTACAGCTCTCTCAACGTATGCGACCGATAGGGACATCACGGTGGACTTTGATGCGGCACACATTATCCTCACTACCACCCACCCCGAACATATTAAATGGTTGGAAGCTATGGAGATATTTAGAGCAGGACGCAACACAACATGCATCAATTTTAAAAAAGAGATAGCCCTTTCAACAGCATGGCGGTTCCCAATGGATGATATTGTTTAAAAGTTTATGACGAAAGTACTGCAGCGTGCATGCATGGTATGCAAAACAGCACTCTTTTCGTTTCACTCAAAAGTTTCCACGTGCGATGATTCAAAAGGTAAACGAATCAAAAGAAAGTGTTCGATTTTCAACGTCCAGCTAAGTATTTATCAAAAAAAAAAAGCCTGAGGAAGGTATTCACCTGATATAAATCCAATTGAACATTTGTCCAAATTCACCTGATATGAGTCCAATTGAGCATTTGTGGTTCCACCTGGAAAACCAAATTCATGCTGTCCCATGACTACCTCACAATGTTCACGAACTGGAGGACCAGCTGGTGAGTGCCGGGTACCAGACACCTCAGACTACCTACCAGCACCTTGTCGAGCCAATTCCTTGCTGCGTGTTGGCGGTTTTGCACGCAAAAGGTGGTCCTACGTCGTATTAAATAGGTGGTCATAATGTAATGGCTCTTTGGTGTATACTTTTATGTTAATTTCTAAGCTGCTTTCTAGAATCACTCACAATGCAAAGATATCTTCTCTGAAACCTTTACCTGCCTAGATGCCAAACTAATCTTCCAAGTAATTGTTTATTTTACTTTTACTATGTGTAGTAGAATTTTTGAGGTGTACAATAAGAGACATTATTCTGTAATTAGAGCATTTTAAAGCATTTCCCTTTTTTTGGCAAGATGAAACTGAGTGATTTTATGAAAAACCTGTTTTATAACAGTCATTAATTGTTTTTTCATATCTATTCCTACATTTTTTTTAAAAGCTTTGTAGGTATGTTATCTATTTTTGTTGCCTTCCCCAAGCTCAGTTTTTGGAGTGCTTGGTCAAATTCTCCCTCTGATATTGATGGGCCTAAATTTTCTCTATAAATTACATTTTCATTTTCAATGTCTCTAATTTTGTCATTATATAATTCTTCTATAAGTTCTTTCTAGCAGTCACTAATTTCTTCATTGTTTATTAAAAGTCTTTGTTTTTGAACTATAGTTGATCTTGTGAATATGAGCCATTTGATCTTATAATATGCTTTGTCTTGTCAACTTCTCTTTATATCCTCCTCAATCTCCTTATTATTTTAATTTGTTAAGTAACTATTTCAGATTTTGATGGAGATGACATGATTAACAAGCAGGATTTACGAGAATTGATAAGAAGACTAATTTCAAAGGAAGAACGAGTGATGCAAGATAACGACATGCAAGAATTGATTAATCATGTTAGTATTTTATTGTAGATTTAAAAATTTCTTGGACATTTGGTAATTTAATTTTCCTAAATAGATCTTGGCTGAATGTGATATGGACGAAGATAATTGTTTGTCTTTCACAGAATTTGAACATGTTATTTCAAAATCTGGAGATTTCATGAAGTAAGTTTCAAAATTTTTTAATGGAAATATGCACAAAGCACTTAAATAGAAACATTACAATGTCTTTTTAAACCACAGTTAAATTTAATGGATATCTTTTAGTTAATCACATTATAAAACTTGAACTACAGTTTACACAATGAAAGAGTAGACGTGAGTCAGCTTGAACTGGAAGGGTCTTTGGCAGATGAAAGGGATGGAAGGAGACATGAGAGTTGACACATGGATCAGTAATAAAATTTGTAGTAAAAAAGTAAACAAATAAAATTATGAAGATAGATAGATTCATACATACATACAATTCCATACACAAGGTGTTTACCCAGCAGAAAAGAGGGTAAGGGAAAGGGGGAAGGAGGAGGGAGAGGAGATAGACTAGAGAAAGGTAGGATCCCTCTGAACGGCATACATATGGCTACTGTACCCTTTACATTTGATGTTGGCATGCAGTTTTTAGGCTGCAAGGCTGCTGTTCCCCGAAGGGACTAAAAGAAACCCTGAGTGTAGCGAACACCAATAATTGAGTGCCGCCAAAAATAGCTAAGTATAGAAGTTAGTGCCAAGTGGCTGTTAGTAGGAAGACTAATAACTACTTAATACTAATAAAACTGAATGCAATCATGAATTTTAATACTACTTAACAGCTAGATAGACAGCAAATGCATAGACAGCGTGAAAAGCAAATGTTCACAGTGACAAACTAGACGAGATGAATGAACTGACAGAAGACAAACGAGCAAAACCCCCTTTTTTAAAAGAAAACATTAAATTAATAATTAAACTATAACCTACTATAATCTAGGATGAACTTAGCCAGACAACTGAAGCTAATAAATCCTAATCTAATTTAACCTAACCTATTATAACCTAACAGGAAACTAAGCTGAATCCCTAATTTAACTTACAACTAGGACTAACTTAAACTAACTGAATTTAGACTGAAAAAGAAGACAGAAAATAAGAATTAAAATATGAAGTTGAAATGTAGCTACATACCGACAGTTGAAATAAAGCAAGGGAAAGCTAATTGCCATCTGTGCCCCGGAGTGAGTGCTCTCAAGAGCCTCACTAAGGGATATGAATGCAACTAGATGATGGAACATTGCACATCTGTGAATGAGTTGGTGCAGGTTGCAAGGCCAGTTGTACCCTTCAAGAATAGCAGCTCTCATTAAACTACCTCTAATTTGATTGTATCTATTGCAGTGAAAAACTAAGTGAAATGGTGTTTGGTCCTTCTAAATATCACAATTGCATTGTGGATTGTCCCCCAAGGTTAAATCTAATCAAGTATTGCTTAAAGTTGCCATGTCCTGTAAGCATCTGAGTGAGCGTGTAACTAGGGTAAAAGTGGCAAAAAATCTCAATAGTGTCAACCTTGGGGATGAAAGTGTAGGTGAGCCTTCCAGTGGTGTCATGGTCCTAGCTGTCTTTCCAGAGAATGAAGATTTGCTTCTTGACATGATTGTTGATGTACGAAGTAGGAATGTAACTGAAAGTACTAGTGATCAAAGACTCTGCAGCTTGTTTGGCAAGACAGTCAGTAGTCTTGTTGCCGAGAACCCCCGCATGACCTGGGTCAACATTGGAAATCTATTTTAATGTTGTTGTCTAAGTGTCTGAGGATGTTGTAAAGTACTATTTTATTTTTCTGACTTTCCAACGATTATCGACACTACTGTGTGCCGGAAATAGCCGTTCCCTAACGGGTACTTTACGCGGATTCGCGTTAGTGTGCCAGGCCTGGACTTTAAGCGTGCACCGAATTAAATAATAACAAAGTTTGTCAATAACAAAATCAAATATTTAATTAAACTTCTAGTAATAAACTATATACAGTATTTAGTAAAAATCAAACAATAATTTATTCAATGAAATTTAACAAGAATCAACCCGACAAAACACAAATCAATCGCTTTCGAACTTGAAGTTCTTCCTCAGGTAACATGTCCAATCGAACGCCATTCAAATTTGATTGAAAAAAGAACATCATTACGAATTTTCTCGTACGTATCGCTGGCGTCATTGACGCATGCGCCCCTTCGCTGGTTCTAACTTAACGTAACTTTTTGTCTACGAGCACCTGCCATGCAGTTGACAGGATGATCTCGTCTTTGTTGTTAATGCAATTGTCGTCTTTAAGCGTAGCCATACATATGTACAGGGCCTCTAGCCATCTAAGGTGGTGTGTGTACTTTGTAGTGCGGATTACCTTGGCCTGGCTGAATAACGGTTCTATTTCCGTATCCGAGGCATAGACGGCAAGAGCGGTGTTTTGCCTTGCATGTAGAATATCCGCCATGTGTTCTTTAATTCTCACCTCTAAGGAGCGCTTAGTGGATCCTACGTATATCAGGCTTCTGTTCCATCTATGATCAATCATTGGGATGGTATATACCCCTGGGCGTCGTTCTTTGTTTGGGGTATCTTTCCCGTTCCGTAAAATGTCAAAAATTGTGGCGCATCTTCTATACGCGATGCGAATATTCTTTTTCTTCGCTATTGTGTTGTAAATTGATTTCAGGTACGGATTGTATGTAACCGGGATGATGTTAGATGGAACTTCCTTGGGTGCTTGGTTAAGGGCTACTTCTCGGCAGCGCCATTTGCGGATCAATTTACGTACGATCTTGGGATAACCATGTTCGTTGGCTATTTGTTCAATATGTCTTAGTTCGGCATGTAGGGATATCCGATCCGATGAATGCGAGTATGCTCTCCTAATTAAGGCGTTGAAGGCTGCCATTTTATAGTTCGGTGGATCGCACGATCCTATTGGAATGTATAGATGCTCAGCCCCTGGTTTCCGGTACACTTCTGTACGGGTAGTTGTTTGTTCGAACTTGATGTTGATGTCGAGAAAATGGGCTTCAGAAGCGTGAGCTTGATCGATCTCTAAGGTCAGGCCGTATGGATTATCATTGAACGAATCAACGAACCTTGAAACATCCGGCTCAATCCTCCATAAGATGAGAATATCATCCACGTATCGTTTATATAGTAAGATGTTAGGTGAGTATTGAGGGATGACTATATCTTCTAATTGTCTGACCACTATTTCGCATAGGTCCCCTGCGATGGGGCTACCCATGGGGACGCCTCTTCCTTGGCCGTACGTGATCCCGTTGAATTGGAAAAAAGAGTTATAACAGATAAGATGTGCCAATTCTAGTATCTGTTGGTGTAAGCTATTATCATTAACCATGTTAAACAGGAGGTCTCTTACGGCGCAAAATACTGCCGGTAGTTTAATAGACGGGTAGAGTGATTTAAAGTCTAATACCGTTATGAAGCTAGGAGTTGCTGATAATTCCTTGAGGAGTGATATTAGGTCTGAAGGGTGTGTCAGAGCATAAGGATATCCTTCCAGTATAGGCGAGACTAACTTATGCATTAGTTTCTCTAGTTGAATGGTTGGTGCCCTGGCCTTATCAATGATTGGT